GATGCCTCCCACGGTTCTCCCGCCCCCTTCTGCGCGCCGCCGTGCTTGTCCAGGCGACTGACCAAGTCGCAGACGGCGACTATCACCTCTGGCGGAGGTCCTCGTCATCGTCCTGCACCTCGTGCCTCTCCTCCTCCTCCTCCTCCTCCTGCTCCTCCTGCTCCTCCTCCTCCTCCTCCTCCTCCTCCTCCTCATCATCATCATCCCTCCCCTTCCTCCTCCTCCTCTTCCTCCTCTTCCTCCTCCTCCTCAGCCGTTCTGGCTCAGGTCTACGACCTGTGCTTGCTGACGCAAATATTCAGAGCGACCTGCGTCAGCGGGCCATTGGTATCAACGACTACGAGCACGGCAGGTTCGGGGGCCTGGCGCTGCTCATACCTTCACAACCCCCATCCTGCCCCTGCTGCTCCTCTCGTTTGCTCTCTGCTGCCTGTGGGTGGTCAGAGTGGGCGAGTGGCAGGGGCCATGGCGGATGCTAGGGAGAAAGCTGGTGGCAAAGGGAAGGAGCGCAGAGATTGGTTTTGCAAAGACTGCACACATCCCAGATCGGGCAAGCCGCTCATCAACTGGGGTACGAATCTCAAGTGTTTCTCCTGCCGTATGCACAAGAAGGATGTTTTCAAGCCCAACGTTGAGCCAGCTTCGCCTTCCAAGAAGCGGGCTCTCGTGGGTGGCGAAGGTAGTGCGAAGGATCTGGCGGGGGGTACGCTCACGCCTCGTGCTTCTGCTGGGTCGGCATACTACCAGAAGCTCATCGTGCAGTTGCAGAATGAGCTGGCTGCGCTCCGCGGCAAGAACGCTGAGGGCAGTGCTGGACCCCATCAACAGGCAGCTGCGATGCAAGTGGACTCTGGTAAGCAAGGGCCTGTTGACAGCGAGAACGACGACGTGGCGAAGAAGAAGGCTGAGGAAGTCAGGGAACTGGAGTCTGCGCTGGATGCGATCAAAGGGTTATTCTCTGAATGGGCTACGGCGCAGAAGGAGTCTCTCGGACAACTACTACAGCAACGTCGTGCGGAACTTCATGCTGCCAAACCTTTGCACGCGCAGGCTCACATCCTGGCGAATAAGGTGCGGCAGCAACGTATTGAGAATGAGAAGCTTTTCAGCAAAGTACAAGATGCTCACGCTGCTCTTGCGACGGCTAAGCTGGCGGTCGAGGAGGCGGAGAAGAATCATGGGGATGCTCAAGTTGCGCTGTGTACGCTGGAGGAGCAATTGGGCGCGCTGCAGCAGAGATTGCCTGCGGTGCCTGTGCCTGACGACTCTAAGCAGGATGAGGTGTGCTTGGCAATGCTGGGATTATCTACTGAGAAGCTGGGTGAGTTGGTATCAAAGGCTGCAGAAAGTACTGATATTGGGCAAGAGGCCCGCGAACGATTGTCCAAGGGTATTGGCGGGGCGCTGCAAGAGGCATTTGTGTCGCAGCAGCGTGCTGCTACTAGTGAGGCGTGGCAGGCTACTGCTGGTTCAAGCTAACGAATCCCAGTTGATGCGGGCAAGTCTGCAGAGCTGGGCGAGGTTTGGAAGCCAGACGGCCTCGACGTTCCTACTTTGCGTAAGGAGCTTGCAAGTCTTGGTGCAGTGGATTTCGATTCTGAGAATGGTGCTGCAGAGGACGAGGTCGTTCGTGAGATGGCGCGGCGGCTGGCGAAAAGTGGATTCCATCCAAAGCGCGTCGTCAAGTCGGGCCCTTATTAATGGCACGACTTGTATTGCGTGTTTCCTCATGTGTACTGGCGGCATGATGAAGACCACGGGATATCTTACCACGGTTAATATCACGTCTTGGGGCTCGTTGGAGCTTTGTCTGGAGAGTCTTGATCGCGATGTGCCGGTAGTGGTTCTACGGGAGCACCATCGCGTGGGAGCGGAATCGGGCGCTCTTCAGAGGCAAGTTCGAGACCATGGATACGACGGCATTTGGTCGGACGCTATTCCTTCTTCTGAACGTGGGACTACGGGCGGCGTCGCGGTGCTGGCGAAGACGTCCATCCCCATTACGTTGCTTCCTTTTTCTGGCTGATCCCGCCATCGTCCCAGACAGGTTATCTGCGGGGCATGTGCATTGGGGGGTCAAGAGTGGAGTTATTTTGTTATCCATTTACCTGCAGGATTCCGTGGGCATGAGTGGCTGCAACGGAGAGGTGCTGTGGCAGCTGGCGCTTTCTCTTTCTAAGCTCACGGCAGCGCAGTGCGACTGGATCGTCGCAGGTGGCTTCAACATGGATCGTCATCAGCTGGATGCGCCATGGTTGCCACAGATGGGGGGTCTTATTGTTGCGCCGAGCTTGGCGGCATGTCGGCCCGCCAGGTTTGAGCAGCATGCTGTGTTGGATTACTTCTTGGTGTCTGCTAACTTGGCTACACGCATTCATCGGCCTGAGGTGCAGGAGGCGTGCGCGACTGCTCCGCATCATCCTGTCCATCTTCCTGTCCTGGCGGGGGATTTGGACATGGGGGTGAGGGTCGTGCGCGCCCCCCGTAGGGCACCTGCTGTTCCGCGTCCTGGATGTGCTCGGCGGGCTCAGGACTGGTCGGAGCCATTGAGTATTGTTGCGAACCTCAAGGAAGCGGATCAGTTGGCCGAGGCTTGGGACGTGGCGTTGAATACGGCTGAGAAGAAGCTGTTCGACAGGTACGATTTTGGTGAGCAGTTCGGTGATTCTCATGCTGCACGCAGCGCAGAGCCAGTGGCCCTTTTCAACCGCGTCTCCTGGTAACCTCCAGCAAGACGTGCCTGGGTTGGTGCTACTGCGTTGGCGTACAGGGCGGCAGCGAAGTGGGCTAAGCATCTCTTGGGTGTTTACGCATATTTCAGAAGGGCCATCTTGGAATTGCATGATACGTACTTGGTCATGGTGCCGCAGCCTAAACACTATGGTAAGGTTGCAAAGTCCCACCAGCCCTTTGGGCGTGAGTGGTTTAGGGGGCTCTCTCTGTCCTCAACCCCCCTTCTTCCCCTTCGGGGGAGGGTTTACCCCTCCCCCTACCCCCTCCCCCTGGGCCTGGAGAGGGCGGGCCGCGGGTCGTCAGGGGAGTCTTTTTCGACTCCTGGGAGGGCCAAAAAACGACGACCCTCACGAGGATTCTGGCCCCGAGGGGGGGGGGGGGGAGTTTGGCGCCTGAACTCGTCGTTGAAGTAAAACACATTGATTTTACTACGGTTTTGGCCCCATTTTGGCCTTTTGAGGGGGCCGCGTTCCTCTTCCTTCATCGCAAAATCACTGATTTTAAAAAGGTTTTGGGCTCATTTTCTCATTCTCAGGGGCCAGCGCTCCTTTGCGCTTCAGAGGGCCCCCAAGAGGCCCCAAGAGTCACCCAAGAGGCCCCCAAGAGGCCCCCAAGAGGCCCCAAGAGGCCCCAAGAGGCCCCCAAGAGGCCGCCAAGAGGCCCCCAAGAGGCCCCAAGAGGCTCCAAGAGGCCCCCAAGAGGCCCCACGAGGAGCCAGAACGACTCACACCAGGACGAGGAGCCCGAACGACTCACACCACGAAGAGCCCGAACGACTCACACCAGAAGGAGGGGCCCGAACGACTCACACCAGGACGAGGCGCCCGAACGACTCACACCACGAGGAGCCCGAACGACTCACACCACGACGAGGGCCCCGAACGACTCACACCACGAGGAGCCCGAACGAGTCACACCAGGAGGAGGGGCCCGAACGACTCACACCAGGACGAGGGGCCCGAACAACTCACACCACGAGAAGCCCGAACGACTCACACCAGGACGAAGAGCCCGAACGACTCACACCACGAAGAGCCCGAACGACTCACACCAGGAAGAAGGGCCCGAACGACTCACACCAGGACGAGACACCCCAAACGACTCAAACCACGAGGAGCGTTTTCTCTCCCTCCTCCGCCTCGTCCTTCTCCCGCTGCCCCCACAAGGAGGATGTACAAGGAGGCGGGAGGAAGGAGGAACAGGGGAGATATGCGGGGCAAAGCGGACACACGCCTGAAAAACACAACTGTCGGCATGCTTCGCAAGAGTTGCTGTTGTGAGATGGGCTGGTGGGGATACGCGAAGCGTAAAGAATTCCTGCTGGAAGCTGCTTCTTATTGCCAGAAGATTCCCAAACATGGTGGCTTCTACAAGCTGGAGCACCGGGTTAGAGACGTTTTCGTCAAAGGGCTGGGGTGCTTCCTTGAGGCAGATTTTGAGAAGCAGGCAGCGGATATTGAGCAGTTTGCAGTTGAGCAATATGAAGTGGCGCTGAAGGGCAGGCAGAAGGTTTGGGAGGATGTTGCGCGCAAGTCCTTTGACAATGGTGCTCGAGGCGCTCATAGGGCAACCAAGGTGCATGATATGCAGCGTGCACTGGACGGTTGGCAAAACAGGGGGCAGTTGGCGTCGCCGCAGGCGTTGTGCGATCGTGAGATGTCGGATTGGTGCAAGATGTGGCGGCATCATTGCGCGGGTCCGCTGACTTGCCCTCCTGATGTCCACGACTGGCCGCTGCTCCCGCAGATTCCGATACCTATGATGCAGGAAGCTACCATGTCCTTTCTGACTACGACGGCGACCTCCCCAGGGCGTATTGCGATGAGGGCTGTCATTCTTCTTTCGTTCCAGGGTTTGTTTGCCATGGCTAGTTTATTCGAAGCTTGCGAGCGTATTGGGGCATGGCCACAGGCTCACATTTGGAACGGGATGATTAGACTACCGATGCCCTCTGGGGGCAACAGGTTGATTACTTTGATGGACTGTACTTTGAGGTTGTGGTCGCGCGTTAGGGCCCCCATTACTAAGCAGTGGATTGCGTCGAACCCCTCCGCGGGTATTGGTGGACTGGGCGGTGCGCGATCTTCCTCTGATTTGGTCTTCAGTTTGAACCTTGAAGCGGAAGCCGCTGCTGCAGTTGGAGGGCGCACCGTGACGGCGCTGTTGGACGCTTGGAAATGCTTCGAGCTTGTGCTTCGCGACGCTTTGTTCCAGGAGGCTCGGCTGGTCGGCTTTGATCTTCGCGCGTTGTGGATGCTATGTCGATGCTACGTGCTCCCGCGCAGGCTGCAGGCATTTGGATCAGTGAGCTTTGCTACTGCGGGCTTTTTGGCAAGGTGCTCGCATGCGCGCG